AGTTGCATACACTCTTATATGTCACTAAGCAGAGTATTTGCCTCTTCCTTGGTTCTATCAAAATCAGAGACCAGTGGTTCATGTGTCACAAGGGTTAACAAAAGCCAAGTGTCATAGCACATATATCGAAAAGTAGCTATGGCCGTTATCCATGGAGTTTTCTAGAAGCCTATAACAAAAGAGTATTGGTGTTATGTCCAGAGCTAGATATTATACAAGTCAATTTAATTGAAGCAAGTAAGTAAACAAAAACCACACAGCTCTGATCCCAGAAGGAATGTGGAGTGTGACCATCAAGCCTCTGGCTCAGGGTGGCACCTTGCAAAACTGAGTCAATGCTTTTAAAAGAACCTGGACCAGCCCCATCTGTCAATGTAAACAGGACTTCTGAGTATGATGTATGGGATTTATCCATTCCTGCCAATGCTAAATCACTAGGTTAAAAAGCCATATTGAAATTTTCTCGTGAGTTTGATTTATAAGCATTGGAAATTTTGTATGATACTATTGAAAGTTATCCCTATATTTGGTTATGGAAGGAGAAATATATAGAGAAATACAATTTAAAAGGTTCTTACACAAGCCAGGTAAAATGGGTCATTATATTTCACAGCTCATCTTACACAGTGCTGATCAGTCACAACTCAGACATAGGAGAGAGCAAGCCATCATCAGAGTCCTCATCTCTGACTGCTGAGCAGTGCACTGTACACAGCTGGTGTCAGTGCCTCAGTGCTTTTATCCGAAGTGTTGCATCTGTTCATACTTTTAAAATAAAAAAAGCAAAGCACCTTTTATATATTTTAAATTGGAAATAGGATCAAAGGTCAACATGTGAGTCCAGATTTGATTACAGCAATATAGAGCATCTGTTCACATCTGCTCTTAACCTGTTTGGCCTTGTATGTAATAAGGCAAATTTAGATCATCTTCAAGGGAATTTCCCACCCTGCCTTACCATGCTCCGCACTGCAGACCAGAAATATGGCTGAGATGATTATCTCTGCTGAGATGATTGCATATTTGGGTAAATAGGAATCACCTCCCTCTCTGAAACAGAGCAGCGCCTTTTACATTCTGTTCCCATTCCCTCCTCTTGCAAAAGTATTCAGTATGACATGTATTACTGTATATGTGGCTGTCTCAGACCAGAACTGAGCAGTAGTTTATATGTGGCTGTAGCTGCAAATAAATTTAGCTTCACTTCCTAAGTCTTCCTTAGCTTCACTTCTTGAATCTCTGAGCTTTATACATCCATTTGTTAACCAGTAGGTCATGCTTCTAATAAAATGTTCATGAAAAAACATGTTCTGAAGATGTAATGAGGTTTACTAGGGCCGAACTGGATTCAATTGTCTTTGTTTTGGAAAGAAGAGACACGTTTACTTTCTACACTTCACATCAGTTTTGGACAAAACACCTTTTTGTCTGAAGTTGAAGTTTTAAATTGCAAGTTTTTGAAGTAGGATTCAAAGCAAAGACTCCTGATGAATGGAAGACCTGTCGTTAATTACCCTCTTGTAAGCCATTTTGCAAGTTCAGCCATCTACTGTAACTGAACTTAGACGGGCACTTTCTAGGCCCTCGAGTTACTGTTATTTAGGACTTGCTGTCTGGTAATCAGGTCAGCAAATGCTTTTTTTGGGTAATGTTCAGAAGATTCACAGTAATACATAAACAATAAATATGATATATAATTGATGGCAGCTTCTTCAGAAGTGGCTCTTTTAACTAATGAGAGCTGGTTTGTACAGTGCATGAACAAAAAGGGCAACTTTACTGCTAAGGAAAATAGATTCCTTGACAGTTACTGCGATGATAGTCTGCGGATCCTAAATCGCTAATTACAGTTTGAGGCAATGATGTTGGCACATTGTTGCCAGATGGAAGATTCATTTTACTGGCCACTTAATTAACAACTGGTAAATAGTTGCACCCAAATACACATATTTACATATGCAGAGTGCTTACTGTGTCACAATGATGCTAATGGCTTGGAAAGCAAGTCTTATTAACGCTGTCTACTAATGGGAATGTCAAAATAAATTATATTCTCTGGAACTGTGACACATCTATCTGCCACCTGCATGGGAGCTCCCAAGCTTCAGGTTTCTGACTGCCTGATAGCTCTTGAAAGCTGTGACACTTTCCAAAGCAGCAAAGGGAGCTGTAGGAATTTTGGTAGTTCAGGGGGACAAGTCCTGCTGTTTCTAAAGGAGGCTAGCTGAAGGACAAGTCCCTATCCAAGTTTTATCTCATATTGGGGGTATGTATATATATATGTAACATATCTGAAAAGGTTTCTGGTACACAATACTTGCAGCTTTCAGTGGAAGAGCTTAATGTATTTTACAGAGTTGTCTGTGCATGTCAGGGAAGGTAAAGAGGTCATAGAGATAAATGGGCCCTGCTCCCCAGCTGCTATAATTCATTTTCTGGTTGGTACAGAACCCATAGTTTAATTATATATTAAGAATAATCTGTTTTATTTCTGTATTACCTCTCATCTATGAATCTCAAACAAGGTTTTTAAAATCGTACCTCACAGTTCACAGGAGTGCAACAATTTACACTTGAACCTGTTTAGCTGGCAAGAAAACAGAGGTATGGTGACTTAAGGGGTCACAGCAAACCATATTTCCAGGATCCTAGGGAAGAAAAAGGACATCTGAATCCTGGCTATACTAGTTATCTTACCCGTACTCCTGTCTATTGTTGCCACTGACCAATACTAGCGGTGAAATGCAAAAGTTGATTTGGAAAAGTGAGTGAGATGATAGCAGCAGGCTGGTTTGTGGAAGGCAGTCCGAAACAGATGAGTGTTAAATTATTCACTTAAGTAAAAGCCAGATGCAAAAATGCTGGGTAAGACACAGCTGGCAATCTGAAACAGTCATAAAATGAGCATTAGTTAACAGTATCATGGTGTTCTTAAAATAAGTCAAATTCAATTCTGGAGCGTATCAGCAGCATAGCTTGCAAGACATGAGAAGCTCTTCTTGTGTAGGAAGGACCAGGAGCATTAGGTCCAATTTTGAGCATTATTCTAAGAGTAGGATATGGGCCAGTCCATGAGGGCTCAGCAGAGAGCAGTGAGAATGGTTTGAGGGCTAGAAAATTTGGTCAAAATAGAAAGATAGGACAAACTTGGGTTCTGTAGTCTAAAGAAGACTGTGGAGAGTTGATAGTAGTCTTCAGATATAAAGGCTGCCTGAAAGAGGAAGGGAGAAAGATTGTTTTATTTATTTATGGTGCATTAAACAGAGATAATGTGCTTAAACTGCAGAGAATTAGGTTAGGAAAATATATTTACAGTAAGGATAGTGAATATTATAATAAATTTCCGGAGTATAGTGTTTCCCTCTACCTCTGGATACCTTTATGAAATTATTAGACACACATCTGTGAGGTGTAGCTGTCCTAGGTGTAGGTCCTGCATTAGGACTAAGAAGCTGGACAAAGTGATTCTGGATGTCCCATCCAGCCCTGTGGCAAGCCTGTGAGCCAGCCCTATGATGGCTCTCCTATCTCACATTTAAATCCCATTTGAAACTTGCTTCTACCATCACGATAGTAACTGAGGATAATCTGAGGTGCCGCTTTGGCTTTCCTGTTCAATTCAGCAAATTGATGGGTAGGACAAACATGTTTCCCCGTGGTGATGTTAGGCTGAAATTTACACTCCATTCAGTCCTGTCTCACAGCACCTTTTTTGCCTGGCTGTGGTTTTGCATTACTCACACTCCTGCAGCTCTGGCCATTACCTACTGATGTGGTTTACAGCTGAAATGTGTACGAAGCCCAGGACTCTAATGAAGGGCCTGGAGATGTTCTTCTCCCTTGATGATTGCCTGTCTTTTACAACTAATACTTCTGCATGTTTTGCCAAAGATGTCTATTGGTGGATCATTTTATTTGAAGTGTTACAGATTAGCCATCTGGATGAAGTTGTCCAAGTAGTGTTGGATGTGGAAAAGGACTGTTTCTAGTATAAAATCCACATTCCAGAGGTCAGGTTTTTTTCTAGGGCAGAAGCAATCTTTTGCTCACTATCTGCACAGCACAATCCCGCTGCAGTATTGTCACATTAAAAATAATACTAATCATGATTCCTAAGGTGTGTTTGGAGTTACCTCTACGTCTGTCTGCATTTTGAAGTTTTCTAATTAAAAAAAAAATAAATTAATACATCATTAACTTTACAGAGAAGAGGAACCTAATATACTGGGACATCACTGTAGCTTACTAATTATGCATTATTGTAAGACTTTTTCCTTTTCTAATATTTTTATTGGTCTAATTTTAAATGTTTCAAGACTGTTAAGGAAATTTAATGATTATTAATATAGGAAATAACATCTTTTGTCATTGTCACTCTGATAATATTTATTTGAATTTATATATTGGTCAATGGACAAGTTCATTTGCAATGCTGAATTCTGGGAGAGGTCTGGTACCTCATAAGCAAACAGACAATTTTGGAACTAAAACTATAGAGCAGATTGCTTGCTTTTGTCTTGAGTTTAGAGTTGCTGATATTTTGAAATAAAAGAAATGCCTTCTCTTTGAAACGGACTTCAATTTCCTATAGAAATAAATGGGGTTTGGAGGCATCTCGGGTAGATTTGCTGTGTACACTCCCCTCTTAGTGTCTTTTAAGTCCATTTAAAGCTTACTTCTGTCCTGCTGTCGCCATTGTGGCAATAGCTGAGGAAGATCTGAGATGTGGTTTCCACAATTCTGTTCAACTGAGTGAATTGTGTTCTTTCCATTCTGCTTGACCCCATCTGCTTGCTTTGGCCTTCCATTGCATGCTGTCTGCAGGTTTCCTGGGTAACCTTTCTTCTGAGTCGTGGTCTTACTATGGTACCTCTGGTCATGGATTAAAACACTGCCTTGATACAAAAAAAAAAAAAGGCAACATAAAAATGAAATCACAATAAGCCATGTGTTTACTACAGATTCTAAATTTTTTTCCCTTTGTTTTTGTTTTGGTGCAGATTGTTTCTCAGAGGAAACTCTCCAAGTCCTTACTCAAACATGGGAACACAGCAGGAAAGTCATCCATAACAGTAAGTCAGCCTTAAATACACTCTTATTTTCCTGTTATTTAGAAACATCTAATGTGACTAATTCTCCCTAAAAGCATCCTGCTAAGTAACCAGAACAACCCTTGACTGAGAAATATATTTTAATTGTTTATTTAACAGATTACTTGTTCTGTTTCTGGTAAATGCTTGTTGTAAGGAAATGGCACAAATAACATATAATTTGTATAAAAGCCACAATATTTACTACTACTACTTTTAAGGTGTACTACTTTGATGACAGCAAGACAGTTGTTCTGCTTGATTACTTTTACTTGAAGCTCTAGAACCTTCAGAAATCCATTTTGAGACTTTTTGACTTATGAAGGAGTCTGATTTTTCTTGGCCTTTGGGCTTTTTCTAGTTTCTAAAAAAAGAAAAAAAAACAAATAAAAAACAACTCAGAAAACACACACACACACACACAGCAACATCAAATGCAGAAGTTTGATGAGATTAGGTGTTTTAGCTGTGTTGTAATGCAATTACAGACTGGATAGTTATAGCAGCCCCATGTGTATCTTGAAATCTGCAAATCAATGTATTACCTCTATTTCATCTTTCTCTTTGCTGGCTTGTTTGGGAGATCAAGCTTGTCTGCACCGAACCTAGCATGCTTGTGACATTTGCAGCTCTGCATTAAGACAAAGACTATAATAAAATATTCTGCTTTGGGGATCTCTGCTCTGTTGCCTCATGGAGTTGAAAAGGATTTTTTTCCTTGATGTGCAATTAGCCAGATGGGTTTCTTTTGGCTTGATTGTTTGGATTTTTTTTTTTTTCTGCGCTCAGCCACAGAAGAGGCAGAGAACTGTGAGAAATAATGCTTTCTGAGAGCCCAGGGAATTTGCTTTCTTAGATGTCTTCCTTGGTGCCTGGCTGGGAAGGGATTTGCTTAAATGAATAAGGTAAACTCATTTTTGTTCTGAGGTTGGAAAGGAATTCCCTGCTCTTCTGGCTGAATAGAACCAGGAGAGAGTTTTGCTCCCTAAATACTCTGGTATGCTTTGCCTGCTGGGATTATCTGGGCATACTTCATCTTGTCCATCCCCATGGTGTTCTCGACCCTCCACCAGCTCTATGAGGGACAGGAAGGAGTTCAGTCTTGTGAAAACACAAATGCTGTAGCTCAACTAAAATTGTTAGGCTTTCTAGTAGAGTGTTCTGGCAAAAATTAATGCTCTGTGATATACAGATGATGAGAGAAAATGAGTTAATAGTCCCTGCTGGCCTAACACTGGATGATAACCATGAACCATGGACCTTAGTTACTTGCTTTGGCTTCCAGCCAGTGGTACTAAAGAGCAAGTCGACTTTACTCAAATGGGAGAAAACTGAACTCAGGCAAAAAATAGTGTGTGAGAAGTTAGCTGTCTCAACAGAATAAGTCAAAATTTATATGTATCATTGTTTCTGTATCTAGGGTACATACCAGGTGTCTGTCAAGTATGGGAGTTACAAATACTAGTTTCCTAACTTGTTCAGTGCAGCCTGGCTAATTCCTGTGAGCTGCATACATGGGCAGTAAAAGCATCCCGCGCTGCAGCGCTCTGACTGCAGCTCTAGCCTCATCAGCCTTCAGCTGGTTGGAAGAATAGTTGGGGTGTCCCGGTGGCTCCCCAAGGACCTGGAGTCCATGCAGTGGAGATGGTCTGAGCCTGGCTGGGAGGCTGACGTGGCTGCCAACTGTGTGGCTGTGGGCACAAAACACTCAGGAAACAGTTTCTTTGGGGCGATTTAATCTCTGGGGAGAATATTTACTATAGGGGAAGATTTTGTAACTGTCAAATAGACTATGATGTGGTTTGTTTCAAAGAACATTTTTCGGTGAAGTATCCCAGATTTGGTTAATACCTTCTCTCCACTAAAGCATTTTAATGGCCTAGTCAGGAAGGCTGTTCAGATGGTTTTGTTGGTTTGGTTTTTTAAGAACATTGCACAGCACAGTGGCTGGCTTCATTATCAGCATAGCTTACGCCATCTGAAAGAATCACACTACATTATTTTAGTTTTATTCTCTTCTGACTCAGTCTATAGTAAATGGTTTTGCCAACGTAGCTATTGCAGAAAAACTATACCAGGAGAACTCTGCTACTGTAAATGTGCCTTTCATGGCAACCAATGACAAGTGCCTTCACTTCTTTTTCCATTTAGTTTGCCAAGTGATGCTGAAGCAGCATAAAAATAATCTAAGCTTTAAACTCAAATAATACAACTCTTGTATAGCTTTTTTGTCCCCTTGGACACTGTGAGACTGGAATTCTCCATTGTCCCATCTGAGGAAAAGTACTTGGTCAGAGGAAAGGGATTCCTGATGGATGTTGAGGTCTGTCCATTGACAGGTGATTGACAAGGCATCATTGCGTGATACAAAGTGATTCAGGTTTGTAGGCTTAACAAGGTGCCACCCATCAGCTGAACAAATGATTCACTGAATGCTCTTATCCCTTCCTGATTGCAAAGAGAAACATATTACCTTGTACCACACTTCAGTTTCCTAATGGGGTCTACTGTCTTCACTCTGGCAAATGGCATCTTTCTCCCCTTTCATTACACCATGCAAAACTCAAATGTAACTTTCCATTTAGGTGATTGCTGAGGAACTGTCTGGCAATGATGACTACGTTGAACTTTCATTCAGTGCCCGGAAATTGGATGACAAGGTAAGCTGCTTGATATTAACCTTACTGAAAGATATAAGAATGCCTGCAAATATAATTTGATGAGATTTTCCCTGACAGATATTTTTTGCCTTATATTATTAAACACATCAGAGATTTCAGATGAATGTTCACAATGAGGCTTTCCTCAAGTTGCGAAGTAATTAAAAAAAAACCTCAAGGGAATCTAATTAAAATGAAGACAATTTAATTACGCTATAACCAAGACAATTTAATTATTTAAAATGCCACAGATCTGAAGTGCTTAGAGAAATGAGTTTTCTATAAGCAAGGATGTTATAGTTGAAGTATGCATCTTAAAATAAAGCTAGAAAACTTCATAACAGTTCAGTCATGATATACATTTTGTTCAACAAAATGTAGCTTGAATGTGAGAAAAAGACTCTTGCATATTTGTTAAAAACTTTTTCCCTCATCAATAAGAAAACTCTTCACTGTCTCAAACACTGCTCTTCACTATAAGGACTACTTCTTTCTGAAAATATCCATTGTTGTTCAGCAATGCACATATAATAAGCACCTCAATCAATACACAGCCCAAGAAATCCAGGTGACTGCTTGTAAAGCACACCCTCTGTTAGTTCAGTGTAATAGGAGACACATAATTATTTGAGGTAATCTGGGGAATATCTTTGTAATTAATAGATGTCATAAGGCTATGACCCTCTTTAGATAATAGGGCTTTACATATAATTGAGGATCAGATGATTAAGATTGTACTCGATCACAATATCTACCATTATTATATAGTCCCTTCCTATATATAAAGCTGCTTCTAATTAGAATCATATGGTAACATTATACAAAAGTTTGTGATTCTAGTGCTCTAAGCATATGCTTGTAAACATTTGGCATGTGAGTACTTTAAAATAGAATCAGTAAGACTACTTCTGGATACATACATCAGATTTTCAAAATCAGGCCGTAACTGATGAATAACATTTTCAGTTGAAACTGCCAGGAAAACTCAGACAAGCAGAAAGTACCCAGAAAGATTAATGGTACCAGAATTTATTTAGAACATACAGGTAAATAACATTACTATGCTCAGGATCATTAACAATCATAAATGATCAGGACCTTAATTTGCTTCTCATCTGAAAGATGAATTACCACTTCCTTCAGAGTTGCTGGAGTCTTAGTGTTTCTGAATCACGTACTTTATAGATTTAACAACCTCTCTTTAGAAAGACACCATTAGGCCTAATTTCCAAAGTTGTACACAAGTTTATTCCTGTTCCACGTGCCGTCACATCTAGAAAAAGGAAAGGAAATGTACAACATAATAACACTTCACTTGGTCATTCCTTTTCCACAAATGTAAAATGTAATCTGGTGTAGATATTACGATTGCTTATGGCTCCTGTTGGTACAAATTAAAAGGATACTGCCAGAGTATGCTTCTGAGTCAGGTCAGTGTTGTTTGGGCAATAGCTTTAGAGAGTGGTTGAAACACTTTATGGAGATAAATCAAGGAGGGTCATTCTGAAATATTGCAAGAACATTGTCATTCTTACCATTTCAACATGTACAGTCAAGGTAGGCTTCATCTAATAAAAAATTCCAGGATGGTACAGTGTGCAACTCGGGCAATGACTCATATGTTATCTGAATCAAAACTCCTGTCTTCACCTGATGAAAATCACTGGAAGCCTATTACATTTGAAATAAGTCTTTCCATTTCCTCCAGCTAGAGACGGAGCTAGAAACCAGGCTGAACCTTGGCTTACCTCGTCTGTAAGAAAAGGCTAGGGTTTTGGTATGGCTTATAATGAATGTTGACATCAGCAGATGCAAGGCACTCTTAGTAATTATTGCTATTAAGGTTTGAAATTACTTAAATTGTATAGTTCAGCCATCAGTGAAAAAGCATGAGTGCCCCAATGTCACATAAATATCAAAAAAACCCATCAGAGAATTGAGAAGAGCCCATCTTGTGAAATCCTAAGCTTGGTTTTGCCTGCCTCTCCCTGCTCAGAGGAGTGAAGACCTGAGTAGAGGTGTAACATCAGAGAAGCAGACTGAGGGCTGGAACTGGCCTGGGATGCTCCTGAAAGCCAGAGGAAGCCTGTGAGAGCAATCGCTCATACTCTGCTATGCAGAGTCACTTGTAACCCCGGGAGTTCCTGCACTTGTAGGTGTGGGCATGGTGGAAGACAAGGTGAATCCAAATGTTTCACAACCTGGGGGTAAAGGGTGGGGGAAGGTTCTGGATCTTCTCTAAGGATAAAAAAAATAATTTCTTTATGTCCATTACTGTCAGTGGTATTTAGAATGGGCAAGAATCATCTTCCTCCATCCTTTAAAGGAAAATTCCTTGAAAGAAGATCCAGATTGTGGTCCTTAAACATATGAGTTTCCTCCACTAAGGAAAAAGGTGTGAACAACACATTTTTGGCAGATTAAACAAAATTTGTCGGTCTAATTTAACAGGCAGTATGTGTTTGTTGGGGTTTTTTTACTCCCCCCACATAAAACTTCAAGTGTTTTAGAGAGGCCATAAAACAAGTAAAGCCTATTCAATTTTTCCTGGAGTGGTGGCTGAAACATTCAGTAAAAAATTATAGGAAAGTCACAGGTATGAAAGTTTCCTTTAGTTACCCGACTTTGCAGAAGATAAAAGTTATATTTTTTATTGCAGTGCTTGTTGGGAAGGTATAACTGCATTTTCTTGTTTTATTGAAGCCCAGTCTGCTCAGATGGCACATCTTTGTTTCAAGACATCCACTGAGAACACTTCACAGTGCAACAATAACTTTTGGAAAGGTTCCATTGTATTAATAGCTGTGTCACAATTACCATGACAAGCAGCCACGTTTTTATGGTACTTATAATAACTTATGAGCACTAAGGTAGGCAAACTGCTTTTCCTGTTCTGAGAAAGGCAATTATCATTGCTTGGGAAAGATTTTCCAGCAAATGGGTGCAAAATACAAGCTAATACTGCTTTTTTATGTATTTCCCTGGTACTAAACTGCTAAAAGAAAAAAATCCTTAAATGCCTTGTCTTGCTGCTGAAGAATTGTCAAAATTATTAGTGTCTTTTGGCAATCCTTTTCTGATAGACCTTTGACTTGAGCCCCAAACCTGAATTTTAAAAAGTGTCATGCTCTGAAAATGAGTGTACTAAAAGATGTCTCAAACTAGGTGCTCAGAAACGGAGGCAGTTAATTTTTTAAAATTTAAGCCATGTACTTGTGTTATTACTGTGTACCCGCCACACATACTGAAACAACAGTGTGCATTATACCACTAACAAATGCATTACATTAATCATTTAAACATTATTAAAATATCAAAACATTAAACCTTTATTGCTGCTATTCTTCTTTTAAAGGATGTTCTGAGATAATGCAAAGCTGTAAGATTCAGCATAACAACCAAAAAGCTTTGAAAATGTTAATAGCTAGGAAATAAAATGTTTCTTCAGCATACTATTTTTGAGTTGTTATGAAGCATCTTCAATACTGAAAGATTTTTTTTTTTTTGTACCTTCATTCTGAAAAGAATTAGGCTTTGGTTTTGCATTGAAGGATGGGTGATAAAAGCTATCATCCAACATTAAAATCATTCCCTTTAGGTGGTATTGCCTTGGTAGTTAAAACATATTAAAAATTACTTCCCTTGTGCTGATTTGCTGCTTCAACTTTCATGATACTCAGCTGGGAATGGTACTGTATTTTGAGTCTTACACAAAATCCTGGGTTCCTTTCTGAATTTTTCTGCACTCCTGGGTGCATTCTTTGGATGTATCATTTTGAGGTGTTTTCTTTCAGTTGACTTTTTTAATCAAACTTGCATTTGATAAAGAATCTGTAAACATTAAGCTTTTGCTCAGCTTCAATCAGTATACTTATGTACGAGAAAAGGCAGCTCAATCTTTTTTAACCCTATGCACTCTGGATTTTGATGTCGCTATAATTAAAACCTCCTTCTCTGCTTGTTCTCTTTGCTATGCAGTAGTAACCTGGCAGAATTTGATCACCAAAGTTCCTTATATACTAGCAGTTTCAAGGGCTGAATGGAGTCCAGATAGTAAATCTATATCAGGGCCTTGAGGCAAACCGTGGAGTTACAGACTTTGTTGTGTTTTGTGCTGGTTCTACACATTCTTACATTAAATGTCCTGTGACCATGTAATTGGAACAAATAGGCAAACATACGGCTTTGTTGTTTAGAGCTCCACATGATAAGATTTAACAAATAGACATGTATGTGCTTTTCATCGGTTTCTGAACACACCATTACCTTTTCTCTAGTAGGAAAACAGACAGATCGTTTACAGAACAGCACTCTGAACACAGCATGATAGGTGTCATCTTTAGGGCATGGAAAAAACTTTAGGTTGCTTGAGCCTTGCCCAAGGCTTTGTGGTCCCTAGGGTCTCACTTCCTCTTCCAGACATTCCAATTCAGGTGTCCCTTTTCAAAGCCCTGATTTCTTTGCTTGTTTTGCAGTTGTGGCATTGTAAAAATGCCCTAAAGACAAATTTGACCAAAATGATGTGCTCAGACTTTGACTACCATCTTATCCAAAGTTTTTCTCATCCCAACAGCTATCCAGCTAGTCAAAAATTAGTGTGGTGGGCATTTGGTGAGGAGAAAATTGTAGAACTATGCATATAATGGTCTTTTTTACACTAATGCTTTTATAGAAGCACCGGCAGAGCAAACAGAATTCCTCACTCCCCAAATTAATGTGGAGGTCTGTGGTTTTGGATATGGCCTGCAGAGAAGGATAATATTCATATGCATAAAGTTAATTGGTTGGCTCTTTTGAAGAAGAAAATGAAGAAGGCAGTTGAAACTACAGAAAATGAGCTGAGTCCATTTGAATCCTGCTCTTGCAGCATTGCAGTCAGAAATGTGAATTAGCCAGCTTTCCCCCTCCAGCCATGGAGGGCTAACACCCAGCTACTCTTCTGTCCCCCAGCCAGCATGTCCAGAAGAAAAGAGATGTTGTTGAAATGAAAGAGGCTGTGGCCAGACTGCAGCAATGCTACAGAAAGCAACTTAATTTAGGTTTGTGTAAGAAGGCTCAGGATTATTAGCTGAATGCAAGACTAGGGGAGCAGGTTCTGCGGTGCAGCGAGTGCATGAACCTCAATGTCTGTCACAGATTTGCTTGTACTTAGAGATATCAAGTAATTTCTGCATTCTCCTGCTCTGTCATCTTAACGTGGGCCATGTTATCATGTCCTAAAGAGGACTTACTTCTCTAACCTTCTCTGATCCATCTTGCCAGGCCATGTTATCATGTCCTAAAGAGGACTTACTTTAACCTTCTCTGATCCATCTTGCCCGTACTTGTGTTAGCTGGTAGCATGGTAGCAGCACAGCGTCTTGGCCGATTAACTTCTGTTTTGTGAGGGTGGGCAATTAGTGTGAAACTCAGCCCCGCTGTAGAATATGCTTCAAAGGGCTTTGCAAGATAGAACTGATGTCAAAAGACCAAACAGGTATGGAGACAGAATGAAACAAGCTGGGTGGATGGAGGAGCTAAAGCTCAGGAATCTGGACTGGGTGTAAGAAGGGTAAAGGCTGTAAAATTACATTTTACAGTTCTGCCTGCCATGATTGAATATTCAAACTGAGAACAACAGTGGTGCCATGGAAGTCCTTGTGGAACAAGAACAAGAGTGAAATATTGCTGAGAGACACCAAGGGGTCTCACTAAAACCGCACTGGCTCTCCTTTTTCATTAGCAGTCAGGGAAGCACCAGTGCACTGTGCCTGAAAAGCTCAAAGAAAAAGAATTCTCAAGAGTAACCTGTCCTATATTTTATTTTAGGATTTCTTCAGCAAATCTGATCCTTTTCTGGAGATTTTCCGGATGAATGATGATGCAACCCAACAACTTGTTCACAGGACTGAGGTAAGGAATAGGGTTGGTTTTATTTTCCAAGGACACAGGTGGGCTGTCAGGAGGAATAGTTTATGCTTTGTATGACACAAAGGGTGTTGCAAACCCCCACATTTAAAAACACGCCTATCTCTTGTGTAATTATTCATTAACGGGTATCAGGTCTTGACTTACACACATGAGAGTAAGGGAAGATGGTACTGAAGCCAAAGATCCAATTTTAGTTAAAGTGGCAGATATTCTGTTTGAAGGTCAGCAGTTATACATATTATATTTGGCCCAAACCATGCTACAGACAGTATAATATTTTCCCATTAATACTATGTTGCATTTTCTCCAAGTCCTCCCATGTTGCTGGTGCTGAAGAGATTTGTAATCTGGCTGCTTTACACTTGTTTCTACGTCCCAGTGTCATTACTGGTAATGACTGGCACTAGAGATTTGTAATCTGGCTGCTTTACACTTGTTTTCTACGTCCCAGTGTCATTACTGCTTCCACGGTAATGACTGGCACCATCTTAAAAAGCAGCATTTAGGTGTACAGGGTGGAGCTGTGGCAGGTATTCAGGATTATGAGCCTGTCTGTTATGGATCCCATAAAGTCTTCCTGGCAAGGCAGACCAGGCATCTGTAAATTGATGCTGCCCATCCCCATTGCCCAGTCCTGCATCTATTCCATGGCTTCCAGTTCAGGGATGTATTCCACAACCTTTCCCTTGTGAGTTACACCCCCGCTGAGGCACGACAGTGCTGGAGCAATCTCTGTAGCATGATCTGTGTATGGGTCCATTTCCCACCTGTGCTCTTTTTGGGGGATTTCCAGAAGAGGAGTGTTGCAAACTGCAAGGGCATATATCCTATGCATGTTGTCCTGCATACCTCCAGCTGAGCTCTGCTTTCTTCTCTTTCGTACTGGATTGAAAATTGTGGCTCTTGTTAGCATTCTGTTTGGAGATGTGCAAATGTTAAGGCTTCCCTTCTTTTCTTTTCACTCACAGGTTGTGATGAATAACTTAAATCCAGCCTGGAAGACCTTTAAAGTCTCTGTAAATTCTCTGTGCAGCGGAGACCAGGACCGCAGGCTAAAGGTCAGAAGTCATTCCTACTTTTTTAATAGTTTTACTCATAGAAAACAAAACTTTGTCTCCCTTTTCAACTGAAGATTGCTACTCTGCACTGCCCTCTTCTTTGATGGTAAAGATGATCATACAGCTGCTTTATGATTACCACAATCAAATTAAGGATGCAGAGAAGTGGTAATCCACTGTAATCAGTAGATTATGCTCTATACTTCTTAGAGTAACCTCAAAAACTTATGGGGCTGTTTTTGCCAATCAGTTGGATAATTCGAACGCAGCAACATTTAACTGGTGGAAGTATACTCAAGGGAAGTGGCAGGTCTGTCATCATTTTAACTACTATTTCTTCACTTTTATGTCTGGAGACACTCTGTAAAAGAAGCACTCAATTATGAGATCTGTTATTATATATGAAGAATGGCGCGGCCACAAAAAAGCATATGCCATAGTAATGAGAGTGCTACTAGTCAGCAGAAATACTTATGGTTGGGAACTTGGAGCTTTGTGTAGAAAAATTTGTCTTCTTATGCCTAAATTGGGTTAAATCAAGGCTGAATCCAATTGTTCATATCTTCTAATCAGGTTTAAGGTTAATACTAAATTAAAAAATATTAAACGAAGAGCACTGTCCCCAGTGTCTGCTCAGCCTTTTGGACCTTATGAAAGGACATTGGACCTAAAAGTATGTCTTCTTTTTTTTTCTTACCATACCAAATTGTCTAGTAAAAATTTTTCCTTGTCCCTGCAAACCTTTCTTCTTTCATTACTATAGCTGCACAGCCCTGCAGAAGCAGTATTGTCATTTTTCACTCATTGCATACTGCAGGATGTGCTGTGCAGATAGAAAAAATAAAATGCCTGGTGTCTACGTGTTACAATGCATGCCACAAATGGGTGGAAAAGGTAAAAAGGAGTTGTATGAATGCTTGGATTTATACTGGTCATGCTGATTGTGATTTATAACTTCACAAAATCAGCACTGTTGTTATGGAACAACAGTGGTACCGACAGCATGTTTATAGGTATACATTTGTATGGTATTGGGGATGCACAAGGAAGACACAGGTATGAATGGTTATCTTATATATTGTTTGTTCCCCTGTGGCATTGTTGGGCAAACAAGGTGAGTCCAAGGGCAAAAGAAGTACTGAAAGAGTGAGGAAATTTGAGGAAACGACAAGCGATGTGGCGAGGAGAGAAAGTGAAGGATGAAATAGATGGAGCACAGGATACTAAGAGTTCAGACCAACGTGTTTGTGTCAGGTGCATCTGAGATGGTGGTGGTACAGGGAAGCAGTTGTGAAAGATCTCTCCATCTACCCCTTAGTTGGTAAATGGTCAAACCAGTTGTGTTTGGTACGTCTGATGGGATTGAAACAGAGTTGTAGCAGATGAAATAGAGAATGAGGTGTGGTGGAAAGAACAGCTTCCATTTTAAAATGCAAGCAAAATTAACAGTATTGGCTAAATTGGCTAAAGAGGATTTCTAGTGCAAATGAAGAAATGTAGAGGAGTTAATTATTGTAGCATGTGTAAGATGACAGTAATGTGAAGTGCCAGGATAATGACTTTTTCATCTTGGGAGCTTGCAATTTTATAAATTTCCTGAGTAGATTAAATATCTATAAGTTAGTTGCCTGAAACACAAGACAAGCAAATTACTCTGTGTTGTATAAGCAATATAGATCTCCAGGAGAAGAAAAGAAAAAAAAGAAAGAAAAAAAAAAAGCAGCTACCCTCCAGAGGTAGTAACATGACTGAGTCAAAGGATGGCCTAGGAAAAGGAGCACTGCCATGGCTGGGGCCTCTATTGGTGCCTCTGATGCCTGGGCTGCTACTTCATGACAAAAGGGAAGCGCTGGGAAAAGCACAGAAGGTGCTTGCTTGGAGAATGAGCTAACATCACCGCTCAGGCAGAGCTGGGACCTGAGCTTTTGCTTTTGCAAAAGTGAGCTATGAAAGGCTTGGAAAGGAGTTCTTCGATGTACTAGAGAAGGGCGAGCCACTGGTGGGTCATATAGGCAGAGGTGACATGGTTACAGCAGGTGGGACTGTAGTTGCTGCAGCATTTTGCAAAGGTGAAAGGGGACAATGCTAGAGAGCACAGTATACTGAAAATGTGAGATGTTGAGGCTGAAGAAGAGATGTAATGTGACAGATTATCTGTGTTATGCAGCCTCTCTGAGGGTACTCCTTACACAACCAGATGCAGAACGTTGCACCCTGCCTCTTCCTTGGCACAGGGTCCCAGATCACCTACTCCAGCTTACATCTGACAGTCACTTAGAGCAATCAGTTGTGCCTGCCCATACAGGTCTGCTTCTTGAGGTAGCTTAAATAGAAATGGGTAACATCCCATAGTAATGTGACTATATAGGTTTGAAGCAAGAGATGGATCAGATATCTGCCACTGAAAGGAAAAGCTGAATTAGCACAGCACTGCCTTCACCACATTGGGCATATGTGGCCTTTAAATCACTTAGATGAGAAAACCTAGGAAGAGATGGAAACAAAATGCGATACTTAGAGTGTCAGAGCAAGTGACAAGTCTGTAAGGGTAGAGAAATGTGGTTCTGGAGGGAGGAACATGCTTTAATCTCTTTTAAACTGAGGTGAGAAGGTATGAGAAAGGCTGAGATTTCAGCTTGGGCAGAAAAAGGTGGGTCTGGGAATAAAGGGAGTCTTTGAGCTATGAGCAGAGAGACAGTAGTAGTTGAATTTGTTTGCAGATGATGCTGCCAAAAGAGAGGCTGAGGAGGCAGAAGTGAAGAGGAAAGAGAATAGTCCTTTAGGGCTGCTTGTAGAGAAGATGAGGGGAAAGTCAGTGAAGGAATGGGAGGACAGAACCAGGGCAAGATGGATCTTATGAACCTATTGACAATTTTCAAAATAATCTTGATTCTGTGGGATTTTTTTTCTTTTTTTGGAGAATAAATGTTTTTATTTGTGCAAGCGTTTGCAGGCCCTGATTTAGATACCTGACTATTTGCCTGAGGCTGCAGGTCAGACATTTGCAGAAAAGCTAAAAGTAGTAAGATTTGCACCAGATCATTCATGAGTGCAGAAATATTCTAAAATTATTTGTGGCTGTAAAATAAGAAAAAAGCTTGAAACTTCTTTAAATTCAGGCCCTTTGTACCTTTTGGTGGGTGTAAGATAAGGCTGCTATGGTCGAGCAGTCCTCAAAATCACTTGTGTTTGACAGATAGCATATAGTACTCGTCAGATGACTATTATGTTTGCTTTCTATACAGACTATAAATTAGGAATTTGATGGCAGCAAGGACAGAAGAGTGGAAATTATAAGTATTAGAGAACTAAAGTGTCTGTGACGGGTTTAGCACTGTATCAATGTTTATACTTCGATTTACATTGACTAAGCATTCCAGTCTTCACCCTACCATATTTTGGAACATTTGACTTCAGTTGCTTTGTTTCACTTCATAAAGTATATAGCAATATGTTACTGCTAAGTGTTGGAAGAATTCCCTGAGCCATATTTAACGTGGGGAGATTTAGTGTATTCCAGCTGCCATGCTGAGCATCAGCTTCTCACCAGGACTGCTCGATCACTGTGAACAGTAATTGCATAAGGCTGGGTAGTTTTGTACCTGTACCTGCTGTTTCTTTTTTACATACCCTGGAAGGTATAATCTAAGCTAAGGCTTTAAGAGCCAGAAATGCTTGGAGGGAAATGCCAGCGTGTGGAAATTCTGCAAATGGAGGGAGACTTCCAAACAACAGCAGACACATTGCAACCATCAGTACCTTTGGCTTGCCTCTGTAGGCTGTTTGGAGGTCTGAAGTCTTGGCCTTTCATTTCTGCCGCTGAAATCACATGGGTACTGAGTCTAGTGATCTGATTTGTGTTGTGAGGAATGGGGATTAACATAGGAAAAATACACTAGAACAACTCAGTTTAACTTACAGAAGTTTGCTCTTTGTAAGTCTTGCACCCAAAGCAGGCTTTACACTGTCTGGGCATTTGAAACGTTCTTGTTTAAAATGCCTGTTGAGAAAGATAAGATAAGCAAGGTCACTAAAATCAAAGCAACCAATAATTAGGGTATCCCTCAAAAGTCTTTTGCTAGCATCCTTTACGAAGTCTGTTAATTTGAATTCCTTATGGGCTTTTAAAAAAAAAATCTAATTTTGCTTTATTTAGCTGTGGTGCAAAGAGCAGTTATTTTTTTTATTCCTCTCAGGACGCCTTGTAAAACTTTATTGCAATTATTGCTGCTGTAGGTTTTATTATGAAAAAGATATATTAGATTTATGAACCTACTGAGCTTTTCTTCCCAGACATAGAAACCATCTGAGAAGTCTGGTCACACTTCAGTGCCGGTCATAACTTCTTTTAATGCTAACAGTACAGACAATTTGTGTATGCGTTGAAGTGAACAAAATACCTCTTTGATCTAAAAGTAGTGCATTGCTCTTCTGATATGTAAAGAGATTCAGTAATTACTGACAAATCTGAGTGAGGTATATAAGCCTTCTGAGAGAAGTTTTTATCCTAGTCTGCTGTGCGGAAGGTCCTGTAAATTGTGGAAATTTGGCGTTCAAGTTTGGTTTCAGCATGTGAGGTATGTTGCCGTCAAAGGTTTATCTGAAATACAGGCTTGCATTGCGAGTATCTTCTGGTAGGGATCATCTACTGTCCATCCATTCTAATAGTTGCAGGGTTCCTCTTTTTCTAGAGGAGTCCTGGTAATGTAAACTGAAAAATAATCTCTTTTCATTTTGGTATTAGATATCATAACACTTGGGGAATGAACACCTCACAAGGTGCTGTAGAGGCACAGGCCAAACGGTGCACATGGCATAGAGTAAGAATATCTTCTGCTGAGGTTGTACAGAGAACCTCACTGAAAGAAATTCTGTTCCTAAAGAAAGGTAGGAAAAAGAGGCAAAAAAATCTGGAAGAAAAACATTGCTGCGGGTGAAGTAATAAGCTGCAATGAGAGGGGGAAGCATGTGTTGTATCTGGATAGAAAGTCCTTTCCATC